TGTGTGTGTGTGTGTGTGTGTGTGTGTTTCCAAGGTTATTTGAGGGCAGGTAACATGGCTGGAGAAAATAACCTGGGCTTGTGGCACAAATGCCACTGAAAATAATAACATATTGGGGAAAAAAAGGCTGCTCAATAGATATGTTTTTCAATGTTATCTAGTACTTTATATTTTTTTATTATTTAAATTAATATATTATGGTTAATACATTCAGTATTATTTATTTATTTATTTTACCTCCCCTCCAACTGGAGGGATTGATGCAAATAATTCATTCATTCATAAAAATAAAATGAATGTTTTTAAAATGAAAACAATCTCAATAAAAGACGAAAAAATAGATGAAATGTTTTAGTTGTTTTCCTGCATGTCATGTGACCATTACCTGACATCAGAGAACCATGAACATGCAAATGTGTTGTTAAATTATTGAAATATTGACTTAAAATCTTGGGGAGTACTTCAAGTAAACATATGTGATCCTGGAGCACAAAAGCAGTCTTAAGTCGCTGGGGTATATTTGTAGCAATAGCCAACAATACACTGTATGGGTCAAAATTATCGATTTTTCTTTTATGCCAAAAATCATTAGGATATTAAGTAAAGGTCATGTTCCATAAAGATATTTTGTAAATCTCCTACCATAAATATATCAAAACTTAATTTTTGATTAGTAATATGCATTGCTAAGAACTTCATTTGGACAACTTTAAAGATGATTTTCTCAATATTTTGATTTTTTTGCACCCTCAGATTCCAAATTTTTTAATAGTTGTATCTCGGTCTAATATTGTCATATCCTAACAAACCATACATCAATGGAAAGCTTATTTATTCAGCTTTCAGATGATGTATAAATCTCAATTTCAAAAAATGGACCCTTATGACTGGTTTTGTGGTCCAGGGTCACATATTAGGTCAAATGGGTTTGACTGACAAGACGGTTTGGGAATGCCTGCTCTATGGCGTGATCCAGGATTGTGAGATATTGTATTGAAATGTGAGTAATGGGTCTGTTTATGTGGTTTGTTTGTTCTTGCAGACAGCAGCTCAGTACTGTGGAGAGAAGCAGACAGAAGTTTAAAGCTGCACCGCTCACTGTAGAGTTTGTGCCCTTCTTCTACCGTAAGTCTCTCTCTCTTTCTCTGGATGAACCCTGTGGGGCATGTGGTGTGTTTATTTACTGATCAGATCTGCTGTTTATCATTTGGCCTTCAGCGATGGCACATAACCAGCGCTCTCTAAACAAAGCAGCCTCAGTGTCCCTTTGGTTAGAAACTCACACCGCTTATCTGCGTGTCAGGGACATGAAGTGTCACTCTGTTTCTGAGTGTACCTGTGCGTTAATGCTGTCAATATTTTACTTTCTGTTCCCTGAGTCTATAGCACTGAGGAGCTGATGAGAAATAATGAAACTAACGAAAAAAACTCTGGGGGTCTCTGTAGAGACAGGGGACAGTAAAGAGTTACAGGAAGAATGCAAGAAAATTATTCAGCATGTTTTTGTTGCCATGTTATTTGCATAAAAAACAGACACCTCTTCATTCATTTGTGTGTGTGTGTTTATGTTTCAGAATGTTTTCAGGAGAGTGAGCACCTGAAGGACAGTCTTAAATGTTGCCTTTTGCACCTGTTTGGAGCCATTGTTGCGGGTGGACAGGTGAGATCATGCCACAGCAGCAAAAGAATAGTGCTGAAGTTTTAGATAAAATGGTGTGTTAACTGGTGAAATTACATTTCCACCAATCACAATTCGGAATGCAAATAATTGCAATAAAGACCAATTGTAATGTAGTATAAAAAATTATACACATACAAAAAAAATGCAATTCTGCATGCAAATAATAGCAAGAAAGAAGACCAATTACAATTTAGTATGCAATTAAATATACAAAAGACCAATTGCAATTCGGTATTCAGATAATTGCAAGAAAGAGGACCAATCGCAATTTAGTATGCAAATAAATGCATAAAAGAAAGCCAATTGCAATTCTTTATACAAACATTTGCAAGAAAGAGGACAAATCACGATTTAGTATACAAATAAATACGTATAAGACAACCAATCGCAATTCAGTGTACAAATAATTGCAAGAAAGAAGACAAGTCACAATTTAGTGTACAAATATATGCACAAAAGAAGACCACTTGCAATTTGGTATGCAAATAACTGCAAGAAAGAAGTCCAGATGCAATATAGTATGCAAATAAATAAACAAAAGAAGACCAATTGCAATTTAGCATGCAAATAATTGCAAAAAACAAGACCAGTCGCATTAAGTATGCAAATAAATGCAAGAGTGAAGACCAAATATGCAAAATATGCTAAACATTTATGTAAATCATTTTAAATCGTACTTTTGTAAAAAAAAAAAATCTATTTTATAATAAACAAAATATTAGTATTGTATTTGTTTTTAATAGTGCTGTCAAACGATTAATCGCGATTAATCGCATCCAAAGTTTTTGTTTACATAATGTGTGTGTACTGTGTATATTTATGTATATACAAATATATATATTTTGAAAATATTTACATGTATATATTTATATTCATATAATTTATATTATATATAAATATATTTAATATATAAACATAACATATTTTTCTTAAATATGCATGTATGTGTGTTTATATATACATAATAAATATATACAGTACACACAGATATATTATGTAAACAAAAACTTTTATTTTGGATGTGATTAATCGCGATTAATCATTTGACCGCACTAGTTTTTAATTGTTTGTCAGTGTAAACATGCTTATGTCTTTGCTGTGACGCATCTGGCTGTTTTTTTTTTTCAGTGTCTCAGCATGAACGCACATTTTTAAGCAATAGTTCTTAAACATTTTTTCTAAAACATGTCTATAAAGTACTCATTTCTGATTTATTTAGATCCATTTTAGCTGTTTTTGAAAGGTCATCTACAAACATTTCAGTGGAATTTGTATGTGAAGTGGTTTAGGTTCAAGATGATGTGCTTTACTGTTCTTTTTGATGTGTCTTTTCACATCGTCTTGTCTCTCAACAGCGTAACGCCCTGCTGGCCATCTCTCCGGCCACAATGGAGGTGCTGCTGGGAGTGTTGGGTGCCGGCGAGTGTCTGAGCGGAGGTGGAGATGGAGAGGACTGGGACAGCGAGGATCCTGACAGGAAGGCTCTGTTGACTCTGGGCTGTTTGCGGGAGGTGGTGCACCGGCTCCTGGCCAGCAGCTCTGATCAGAGACAGGTGGAGATCAGCTCAGTGCTGGAGAGCTACTTCAAACTGCTCAACTCGGACCCCGCCGCCACAGCGCAGGTCAAAGTTCGCCCGTCGCCGCCCCGCTCTCGGCACTGGGAGAGCCGCTTTGTGGCATTACAGGTGAACATGCTCGGTGAGTTGATCTGTCACTCGTGTCGTGTTTGCTAATCTTGACCGCTTCTCTGTTCTGAATCCTGTTCTCCGTTTCACTCAGAAACCATTCAGGACATGTTTGAGTGCAGCGACCGCCCCGTCCTGCAGGCCATCTTCCTCAACAGTAACTGCTTTGAGCATCTGACCCGACTCCTGCAGAACAGTAAGGTGAGCTCCTCTACAGACGCTACATTTCCTGACCATCATGCATTTGGGTTTATTCAGTTCTGAGTCGATATAGAGCTTTGGGAAGATGTTTTGGGAACATTCAGAGAATCTTTCCTTTCAAAGAAAGTCTTCAAAGCCTCTCCGAGATGAATCAATATTTGATTCACAGGAAAAAAGCATTTGAACATCTGTGTGGGGGAAAAAGATTTTATGTCTCTTTTGAGGGAATGAATGCACTACTCTTCCCATAAACCATTGTGAATACTTTAAGAAGACACAAAAACACAGATAATAATGTATTTTCTTATCAGATGATGAATTAAATTGATCAAAAGGGACAGTAAAGACTGTTACAAAAGATTTCTGTTTCAATGCTGTTCTTTTGAACTTTTTATTAATCCGAGAATCCTGAAATAATCCATTGTATCCACGTAAATATGAAACAGCAAAACTGTTCAACATTGATAATAATCAGAAATGTTTCTTGAACAGCAAATCAGTATATTACAATGATTTCTGAAGGATCATGTGACACTGAAGACTTGGATGCTGAAAATTCATCTTTGCTTCACAGGAATAAATGACATTTTAATGTATATTCAGATGGAAAATAGTTATTTTAAATTGTAATACTATTTCACAATGTTACTGTTTTAACTATTTTTGATCAAATAAATGCAGCTTTGGTGATCATAAGAGACTCTTTCAAAAACATAAAATGATCTTACTGACCCCAAACTTTTGAACGATAGATTATTTTGCCTGTAAAACAAGATATGACATAATTATTTATTATCCTTATAAATATACAATTATCTAATCCAAAACAGTGAAGTCATATTTTTAAGTGCAAATTAGTTATTGACCCTAACATACTAATATTCAGCAGTTAATTGTGATTCTTTAATAATGTAGTCAAATGACGTTGACTTCTACAGAATTTGGCAGCTTTAAAATCATGGCAGGTCTCTTATGAAAGATTGATGTTATCTCTAAAAGATGTGCAGATTTTTTATTGAATTCTTCCGAGACCCAGCAGTTGAGCTCTATTGACACTCAGTGACTTTTACAGGTTGATAATGACCTATTGCCTTATACATTGTAGTGTTTGACAGGAATATCTATGTTTGTTGTAGAACCTGTCAGAATCTAAAGACTCGTTTATTGCCGTTTAACTGACAGTGTGTTCAGTTGCAGGATTTATGCATGACAGAATTTGTCTCGCCAGTCAGTTTTTTGTGCAAATATTTACAATCCTCCTTTTTTTTATTTTTTATCTTGCCTTAAAGAACAGTATGTTTTGTGAATATTTGTGTGTTTCAGATTAACTGTTTCTTTACTACTTGTGTTGCTATTAAAACTGTCTCACTGTGCTTATATAGTTATCATCTTACAAGCATGTACACGTATCAGAACTGCAGCACTGCCTTCTATCCATGCATGTTTCTGTCCTTTAGCGACGGAACACCTAGGCACTTAGGGTCATGACCTTTGACCTCCTACCTTTTAACCTTAACCCTTTGCACTTTCCTCTCATTTGCCCGTCTGTGCTTGCTGCGGTCGGCTCCGTCCGGCAGCTGGTTAACGCTAGGTGCACAGCCGCAGACAAGGACCAGAAAGATTTAACCAACAGGTTACTGACAGGAGAGAGTGAGATTCAGGTACCACTCACCTGTGCCTGTCGCTCCCGCTCACCATGCCCCCCGCCGCCCACATGACCACTCCAGGACAAGATCACAGTCCTCTCTCTCTCTCTCTCAGTCTCTCTCTCTCTCTCTCTCTCTCTCTCACCTGAGCAGGGTCACTATGAGTCACATAAGAACCAAACTTAAGAGGGGTGGGTGATATACCGGTTGATACGAGCAGATGAAATTTTATTTTTTTAATAATTAACTGATAACAATATCAACAGTGAGCCAATATAATGTAAATATAATAATAATAATAATAATAATGAGACAAATATATATAAAATATATAATAGAAATAATACATACATTTAAATTTTATTTATTATTTATTCATACATTTTATTATTATAAGTAATAATAATATTTATTGATATAAATAATAAAAAAATGTAATGTCGTATAATGTGTAAATTATATTAACAATCCAATTTAATAAAAGGAAATTACATGTATATGAAATGTACTGTTTCATATATATATGAAATAATAAGTGTTAAAGTTTATAATATGCATACACAATAATATATAATGAACACTCCATTAATAATCTAAATTTAGATAATGAATATATTATAAATCACTAATATAACAAATAAATAAAAAAATTCAATATAATAATGGAAAATAATGTACATGAATTTGCTGAAATTAAACTTAATTTTAATTTTTGAAATTGCACGTAATATTACAAGATTTACTTAAAAATAGAGTATATTAAATGTTTCTTAAAATGTTTTTTGTTTATGTTAATCAACCAACTGAATATGGATATTGGCATATACTGATATTCTCATTATAGTCTAATATTGGCTAAAATATTGGCCTATAACTAGTTTCACATTTAAATTAACTTTTTCTTTTTTCAGTGGTTTTTAGGTAAATTTTCCAGAACATTTATATTGACTCATTGACCACGATATTTAACAATATATAATAAATGTAATATTTAAAATGGTACATTTTTGCTTGTATTACCCTCTCATACTTGCATGCATTTGCATTTGCACCGTGACCTGACAACACAGAGTATCATATCCAAATAAACTGACACCATAAGTGACCAGCCCTGTTTCATGAGCCATTCAATGCTTCCTCGTTGCAGAAGCAGAACAATTATCAGTCCATTTCTTCATGTAAAGTGCTGTGAATGTAGAAGCTTGTAATGGAGTGGTCTTTAGTTTATGTACTCACTCATGCTTTCAATGATCATCTCATTTGATATATTTTGCTTTGCTTGTTTCCCTCCCGTTCCCCCTTCGCCTGTCCTCTGGTGTTTTGGTAACAGGGTTGGAATTCTGTGACTTCAGCAGCCTGTAGCTGTGTGCTTACTGCTGTATAGAAGTACCTCCTTGATTTCATGTCTTATTCTGTTTATTTGCTGCGTCACTCTCCAGCCAGTCTTTGTCGTATTCTTATACCCAATGAACTAGCCAATTGCAATGGCAGATTGAATGTCATGTGATTTTTGCAATCAGCCAATCAGGAGTCTCATGACACTGCGTGGCTGGACAGATTTTTTGGGTTGTGGAGGGAATATGTTGTCTGTGTGTGTATATGAAGTGTGTGTATTCGGGTGTATTGGTTGGTGTTGGTGTTGGAGTTTTTAGTTTCAGATCTGAGCACTGATGGTCTGATATTGTGTATATCAGAGGCTCAGAACTCAAACAGTTTCACAAAGATAATCAACATTTTTTTATTACCCACAGTGTCTGATTCTATTCCTGCCTGTTCATGTAAGCATGGTTCTGTTGTAGCATTTTTGCCATTCGTCATGGCTTTTCACTCATCATTTGCATGGCAAAGTGAACAGATAGGGCAGGAATAGAACAGGCCTCATGCTGTACTGAGTCTTCAGCCATTGGCTGGATCTCTTGATTGACTGTGTTTTCCTCCAATCAGGTGTTCCAAGGGAGGCTCGACTCTCTTGCCATGGCAACGATCAAAACTCTCACGACAGTGATGCACAAGTCGCCTGCTGCAAAGGTTTGTTATAATCAAGTGATCCATCGTTAGACTTTGTGTACAGGATTCCTATCTGGAATGGGCCTAAAGTGAAGTTTTATAATAGGAAGAAACATATACATTATCATTCAAAAGTTCACTACATTTTTTTTAAAGTTTTAGGCCCAATCCCAATTCTATTTTATACCCCTTCCCCTTCCCCTACCCCTCCGCCTACCCCTTCCCCTTGTCCCTTGAAACAGAGTGTCAAGGGGTAGGGGTGAAAATATTCCCCTAACAATTGGGACACCACTACTATGCCATCACACGTCATCATACGTCGGCTAGCTCCTACAATACACACGCCTATACTGGTGTGCATTAGAGCTTTTAATTACCGTTCTATATTA